TATTGGCACAGAAATATCCGCTATGCTACGATCTCAAAGTTTTGAGCTGGAATGAATAACTTCAACGAGCACAGTATCTCCAATGGTATTGTTGCTGATTTCTTCACTAGTCGAAATAGTGGCGACGACGGGTTCGGCGATTGAATGAACTTTTTGTTAAGACAAAACAAAACAGATTTAGCGACAAACTCCGAAAGACAAACGCCAGAGATAACTCTTAGCCTGACTAACTAACTCCACTGTAGGTCTGTTCCCCCTTTTATATAATTTTTCACCGCATCTTCAAAATTCTTGAATTGTCTCAAAGACGACAGAACGTCTAGGATTCCAGAATCATCGCATAAAGACCTCACGAATGACAACCAGTCTCGAAAACTGCCGCGACTGGCAGGACAGAAAGGAACCAGTCCGTCACAGTATCATGTGAATTTGGTTTCAAAAGTACAACCCTATTATAATAAATGTTTTTTCAGTATTCTGAGAAAAAACGTGAGAAAAAAAAAGTAGGCATAAGGCAAATAAAAATATATACGTAGTCTTAAAAGATAAAAGCCCGCATATTTTCAACTAAAAATTTTTTTTTTTTGCCATTTTGTCTGAGCTCAAGGGGGGAGTTTAAACCCCTAAACCCCTCCCTTGCATACGCCACTGGGCACTAACTTCTTGAAACATGCAAACTACAAAGTTAGTTAAGGTTGAAAGTTAACTCTATCACTTGCTGTGACACAAGAGATAATCTCTCGCAGCTGCTCAAGACTGATACACTTGATATTTTCCAATATGTGGCAATGCATCGAATCTCATTTTGTATTTTTTAATCAACTAAATGTAATTTTATAAATCAATTGTTATGTAAACATGAAATTATTTCTTTTTAAATCTTCATTATTTATCTTATCAATTAATAAAAATACAATTTATGCTTTAACAGGTTTAAAAAACATAATTTGGCATATCATCTAATGTAAGATTTGGCACTTAATTATTAAATCAAAATATTATAATTAGAATACAGGAACTAATAAAAAATTTTCCTCCTACAGTTGAAAGTTCTTCACATTAACAAAATGCAAAATAATTTTCTAAAACTTTACATGATCATGATAAAATAACTAGTTTCTCATAAAGAACTCTGTTCTTGATTATATTAGCCACCATAAAAACAATTTATACACAAATTTAGATATGTATTCAATATTGAGTGGCTCATTTATATTTTTTAAATTAATAATTACTTTGTTTAATTAAGAGAAAAAATATTATTCAAAATTGAAATTAATTTAACTATTATATAAAAAGGTTATCTAGCATATTTTATAGATTTGAATAAAAGTTATTTATAAAAGCGTATTGAACAAAACATTAACAAAATTACTATAATTGATATACTGAATTTATAAAGATGTGTTGAGAATTATGTAAACTAAGAAAACTTTAATAAATTCATATTACAAAAGTAAATTAGCGAATGGCCCCTAATAAATTCGTATTAAAAATTTTTACTATTTGTTACAGTATTTCTTTAGTGAAAAGATTTAAAAAAATTTAATAATTTTGAAATGTAAATACAATGAGTATTGAAGCTAAACATTTTGTCAGAAATAAATTATTATATTTATATATATCATTATAATCATAATATTTAACACATCTAAGATAATTGAATTATTTATTTCAATTGTTTTTAAACCAAAACATTAAGAGATGAATTAAATTATTTTGGAAAAACGAATCTGAATAATATAAGAATAAAATAAAAGATTAAAGTAAAAAAAAAATAATAGAGAACAATAAAAAATTTTAAATCTGCCAATGTACCAAAAACAATTAGACTTTTCTCGCTTTTTGATGCAATTGTGTAGAGTTCAGCATAATATACTGCATCCTAAAATAAACCTAATTTTGATAGCCATGAACATTAACTCTTTAATTAAATAATAATAAAAAAAAATTTTTAAGCATTTGTTTTTTTAAATATAATAAAAATACATTTATTTAAGAGCATTTTTATTTCCAAAATAATATTTGCATATATATATATATATATTTACTAATTTTAGAACTATCCCCACTTTACGTAGAGTGGGTATATCTTTTGAATGCATTACTGTAAGAAAACAATCAAACAAAATAGATAAGTTATACGTAATATTTAATCCATATGAATTAAATGTACCTACTATGTAAAATGCATCAAAATTTTGGGTAAAATAAATTTTAATAGTTTGGTTTTAGAACCTTCTTTCTTTGAACCCCTACCTAACTTTCTATTCTTACATTTATTTGACAGCAACATATAAATTATTATAGATGGAAGGTATGTTGGTATAGTTGTATTTTGAAAAAGGATACATTTTGCGACAGAAACCACTGGAAAAAAAAGAAAAAAGTATGAGCAATACTATTTAATTCACAAAAATAATAAAAAAGAAAAGCACAGTTTTTGAATACATAGCTATTTTTTTCGTATGGTTACCATATTACCATTGGTAGTATTGTATTGCATAATCAGGTGTGTGTCCAAGACAAATTTACTACCGTTTAGCGATGCCTTCACAAATTCAACTTAAGGAAAAACGGTAGTTTCACAAAATACTTTTCCTTAGAATTTTATTTTTGTATCCCGTAAGAAACGATAAATTCATATTTTTACCATATTTTGTGTTGATTTTTTGATATAATTTTTAATTTTCACAAATTATGCCTAAATTTTCACAAAATAGGTACCTCTCAGAAAAACCTAGACAGATGCCTGATAATCATATTATCAACATCTGACAACTTTCACTTAGTCTTTTTCTTTTTGATACATACACTGAACAAAATTAAGAGAACATCAGAATTGGACACAGCTTCAATGGGCTAATGTTCTCTTCACCGATGAGTCCAGATTCCATCTACAACCTGATTCTGGACGGTTATTGATATGGAGGGAACCTGGAACCCGATACCATCTCAGCAACATTATCAAAAGGAACCATTATGCTGGTGGAGGACTCATGGTTTGGGTAGGAATCATGCAAGATACCCGCACACCGCTCCATGTGTTTGACAATGGTCTAGTGAATGCCCAGAGGTACAGGCAGTAGGTCCTAGAGCCCTATGTGCGTCTTTTCAGGGGCGCTGTTGGCCCTGAGTTCATTTTTATGGATGACAATGCGCAACCACATAGGGCTCTCATGGTTGATGAATATCTGGAAAGCGATGATATTCAATGAATGGATTGGCCAGTCAAATCCCCTGACCTGAATCCTATTGAACATGCTTGGGATGCTCTTGGGAGAGCTATTGCGATGCATCAACCTCCCCCCCCCCCAAGAATCATTATGGAGTTAAAAATTCCTCTGGTGGAAGAATGGGAGGGTCTTCCACAAGTCCTCCTTAACTCTGTTATTAACAGCATGCATACTCGTTGTGCATGATGTCTGTCTGTCAGGGGCGACCATACTAGAGGCAACACAAGCCTCACTTTTATTGTCATCTTTTATCCTTAAGTTCAGACTACATTGGATTTATTGGCAATAGGTCTTGCCAGTGAATGGCACTTTCATTTTTGCTTTGCATACTTTATTATCATGGAATAAGCTATATCCATACCAAATTTCATTTATTTATATTCAGTATTTTTCTAGATATTTGGGAAAATGTCTTCCATCTCTTAATTTTGTCCACCAGTGTATTTGCATAGGTAATATTGCAGTTAGGTATTATTGTACTAATTACCCACATTAGATAATTAATATGTACAATAGTTAGCAACTTAACAACAATAGCATTTTACTCAGGGTATCTGTTACATTTCAGATATTCAAATTCGTGACTTTTCATGATTTTCGATGACTAATTCCAAGAATTTTTCATTACTTAACGAAGTTGCTATTTTCTCCAACAAAAAAGCAACAATAAATTTAAAAAAGCATTATAATAACATTATACGAAATAGGTATAACCAAAACTATTATACTCTTCATCTTCATATTTACAGATTTTAAACTTAAAAAACAGAGTAAGGAAAGAGTTGAAACAATAAAATTGCTGAAAAAAATGCAAAATCAAAAAAAAAAAAAACTTTTCTGCAGAATTATATTCTAAAGATACTTTTCTTGTTCATCAGAAAGGAAAGAAATACTCCTGATTTTTCTGTTCATTTTGGAATTAAAAAAATTCGCCAATAACTGGTTTGCTTCAACTAGAATTTTAAATTGATAAAAATTTTAAAAAAATGATAATAAAAATTCTTAAATCACAGAAGAGAGTTTAAAGGATAATTCGCTCTAGAAATGATATTTTTTCTTTCATTTTTTTAAAGAACACCATAATTTTTAAAGAACATGATAAAATCACTTTATATTCAAATAAAATATGACCGAGTGGTGATTCTGTTAGAAATTCAGATATTTGGAAGAGGATGAAATTGGGGGGAGGGAGATTCCATTTTAAAAATTAGATTTTTCGGAGACCTAAATCCATGACTTTCCATGATTTTTTTTTTAAAAATAGTAAAAATCATGACATTTCATGACAAATTTTGTTCAATACCAAAATTCATGACTTTCCAGGTGCGCGGATACCCTGTATATAGAATAGGGTTGTTTGAAAAGTAATTTCATTTGTACCTAGCAGAGGACTTAAATACCACAACCACCTTAATAGGTAAGCTGCATAATCATGATATATTTTGACAGCTGATATAGCGAGGCTTGTTCACGAAAAAGTTTGATTCATCCCCTCTTCACTTCTCTTACTTTATTATACTTACATACAGGGTATCTGCTACGTTCTAGATTTTCAAATTCATGACTGTCATGGCTAATTCCATGAACTTTTCATGACTTAAAACGAAGTTACTATTTTCTCCGACAAAAACAGAATAATAAATTTAAAAAGCATTATAATAATATTAATTAAAATGGTAGGCATAATCAAAATTGTTATACCATACATCTTCATATTTATTGATTTTAAATTTAAAAAAAAGAAAAAAGAAAACAGAGTAAAAAAAGAGTTGAAGCAATAAAATAGCTGAGTAAATAATTTTTTTTCTTTTTTCTGCAGAATTATATTCTGAAGATACTTTCCCTGTTCATCAGAAAGGAAAGAAATACTCCTGATTTTTCTGTTCTCGTTTCGGAGAAGAAGAAAAATTTGCCAATGACTGGCTTGCTTCAGCTAGAATTTTAAATTGATAAAATAAAAATAAAAAATATAATAATTCTGAAATCACAGAAATTTAAAAGATACTTCATTCTAGAAATTATGTTTTTTTCCTTAATTTTTTTGAAAGAACACCATAGTTTTTAAAGAACATGAAAAACACTTTTTATATTTAAATAAAATAAGACTTTGAGTGTTGATTTTGTTACAAATTCCGATATTTGGAACACCGTAAAATTGGGGAGAGGGATTTTAATTCCATTTTAAAAATTAGATTTTTCGATGACCTAAATCCATGACTTTTCATGATTTTTTTTAAAAAAATAGTTAAAATCATGACATTTCATGACAAATTTAGTTTAATACTGAAATTCATGACTTTCCATGATTTTTCATGACTTCCCAGGTGCGCGGATACTGTGTACATAGTAAAGTATAGTGATGTTTTTTTTTAATACTTATCCATTTTCTTTTCGTTGATAAGCATGAATAATGCATTTCTTATTCTTAGATTATAAGACCCCACATCTTTTCTTAGTTTTCCTAGCAACTTTTCCTCCTAGCTTGAGTTCCACATTTTACTTCAATGATTTTAGTTATACAGCAGGGCTCAAAATTAACGGTGGTCCGTTGGTCTGTGACCACTGAAATTGGAGTCCGACCAGCATAAAATAATAAACAGTGGTCCGCCGGACCACCATCCACCGCAGCCGATCTCCGTTAATCTAATCTCACAGCCGATCTATTCTCGATCTTACGAAACTTAAACGATCTTACTTAAAACTATTTTAGAGCTTATTCACAATTTTTTNAGGAAGGCGAAGTTAAATCTTGTTTCGCGCATGCGTCACATGGAGAGTCTCTGAAGGAAAGAAATAGGGCAGGTAGCGGGGTGGGTTCATGACGTGCACCATCCGAATCAAAAAAAAATTTTTTTTAATTTTTTATACAAAATTAATATTAATCAAAAAAATGCAATTAAAATCAAAAATTTATGATTTTAAAAAAAAAAATCATGATTTTTTCAATCAAAAATTTTAATTTTTTTTTATTTATTTGCAGGTAATAGGAACGCGCAGACGGACCAGTAAAGTTTTGTGCGGACTAGTAAAATGTTTTAGTTACTGGTCCTATGGACCAGTAATTTTTTTTAAAAATCTCTACCCCTGTACAGGGTGCATAGTCAAATTATTCAACAAAAAATAAGCACCTTTTTAGCACTTTTCAAGCACTCAAAAAATATTTTTAAGCACTTTAAAATAATATCATAATTAGGCAGGGTTGGAAAGTTTTTGACAATTGATGGTTTTACCTGACAACAAAACAAAAAAAAAAACCTTTTGGCATTGTTTTAGACAATTGTCAAAAATCATGAAATTTAGAATCGTGTAAAACGAATGGCTTTTTGGAACGAATGGAACTTTTACAATGCAGGCCACTGGGAGGAGAGTGGGGGTGCTCTATACGATACCGAGATTTATAAAAGCAACTTTTAACTATGCTGGGAGATTTTTATTTAATATTTAAAAAGGCAGAAGCATTTAGACAGTTAACTTTAAATTTTTCTTAAATATAATTTCAAAATTGCGACCACTACTATATTAAAAAAAAATTAAGCAATTATAGGAAGGCACGGCTATTAAATTACTTACTAATGAAAAATATACCACATCTTTACAGTAACTAATTCAAGAGAAAACTTACTTCTACTTCTTTCAAGAATCGTGATATTGGATTTTAAAATCGCATGAATATGAATTGCGATTTTGAATTTTAAAATCGCAATTTTGGATTTTAAAATCGTGTGGATATGAATCACGATTTTGGATTTTAAAAACACGTGAATATGAATCGCGCTGTTGGATTTTAAGAACTCGAAAATACAAATTGCGATATTGAATTTTTAAATCGAGTAATTAAGAATCATGATGCATAATTTTTAGATCACTTGAATACGAATCGCAATGAGTAATTTTTAAATAGCGTACAAATAAGAAAAGCGATATCTGATATTACAACTGTGTGATAACGAATCGCAATATTGGATTTAAAAATGCGTGAATATGAATCGCGATGTTGGATTTTAAACTCCCGAAAATACAAATTGCGATATTGGATTTTTAAATTGAGAGAATAGAAATTGCTAGTACAGCTTTTAAATCAGTTAAATACGAAAATCGATGATTGATATTAAAATCGTCTGATTAAAAATCACGATTTCGGTGCAGTTCCTAATATTTAAAATTCCGAAAATCAGCCAAACAAAAGAAATCAAATATCGGTGGTCGGAAACGAAACGCTTAGATTCCTTTCCACTCTATAGCGAAAGTCGCGGTAATCCAACTATCCTTCGGGAGGCTTGGGTTCTCTAATTGGACCCCCCAAAAATTTTAGTTTTTGGAACAGGGTCAGAAATTTTAAAAATTGGGAGAAATAAGCGAATTTCCGCCCTATTTCCGGATTTCCGGAAGTCTTTCATCCCTAATAATTCGTAGCGAAAATCGACATGGTAAGAAAAAAATCTCATTTTGGAAAGGGGAAAATTAATCACTTTTTAAAGACACTCAATGAAAAAAGCACCTTTAAGGGCTTTTAAAAGATGAGAATAAAAAATAAGCACCTTTAAGCATTTTTTAAAAACGCTACGCACCATGTTCCAAATAACGAGAAAGACTGAGCAAACTTTTTTCGGATTTAATAGTTTAATGATTATTTGAATACCAGATAAAATGTTCTGTACTCTACAGTATACTCCCTATTTTTGTGCAGATTTAGTTAAACTTGAAATCATTTAAATTACTTTTATTTGTTTACTCCAAGAGGAAAATTTAATTATTTACGTCATTCTAGATGCAACAAATATTTCCCGAACAGAATGTAAACACACAATCCCATTTCACAATTTCAAACTTTAAAATTAAAGGTAAGAAAAAAAAAGTTTATCCTTTTCAATTTTTTGAATTGCACAATACCCAAGGGGGGATTTTCGTATCGTGATCTGTGGCAGAATAATCGCCAAGTCTTGGAAACTTCCGGCCAGTAGCCCGCGAGAAAATTAAAAAAAACAACATCACAGAAAGAGACCAACTCGAAAGGTATAACTCATAGCCACCCCCAGGCAAACATCTACATGTTTGCTTGTTTTTAAATTTGCAAGTTTAAGATCTATTTGGCTCCTTGGCGATTGTAGTTGGCGCATCATATCACAATACGGAAATATCCCCACACCCAATATTCAAAGTAGATACCTATGGCGAAATAATTTAATTCGGCAACTTACGAGCTGTAGCCCGTAGGAAACATAAAGGTACCGGTACAATAACTATCGATAAAATTGTTACAAATAACTAGAATTATTTTTCTATCGTAAATCACAATCATGGAAATTTCTGTTGAACTCTTCTCATTCAGTGGCCATATTTTGGATAAGTCTTCGTAACAGTAATTAGAATAACAACAATGATAAAACAAGGGATTTGCTGTAGGTAAACAAGTTACATAAAAGTATTAATGAGTAGAGCACTTTCTGCAGTATGTCCTTTAATGATACACAAACTTTGCATTATAAGAAACATGCAATAATTTGCTTTCGCGAAAGATGCAAAATATATTGTTAACATTTTGTTTTGTATGCACTAATTAGAAAACAATTTAGAGGAAATAAAAAAGGTTCTGTCATTGATACACTTATAAAAGATTTTTTACAGCTAACAACCAAAGAAAGTTCATCATTAAGAAAAAAAATCAATGTTTGAGAATTTATTTTCTGTTTACATCATATTTGTGGTAGAAGTTTATATGATTTATGGAGTAGGTTGATGAACCTTACCGCTTTTTCCAAATGCGACTGAGCTAAATCCGTATTCTTTGTGTGCTGAAGCAAAATATTTCCAAGCTGTAAATGTGTACGAGCTTCAATTTTCGGTGGTTGTTTTAAATTAAAGATCGCAACAAGACACTGAATGCAGTTCCGAATGTTAGGAGGATTCATAGTGCGAAACTCTTCTGCTAAAGCTAAGAGTGCTAAATAACATGCATCTTGAGTGGAAGCCATCATGCAATTACTTTCAAATTCAATTTATAGGTACATTGAAATGGCTGGACACTTGAAAAACGTAACTCTTTATTTGAATTTAAACGGATTTATTTGACATCTTTAACAAAATATTTGGAAAATATTGTTGTTGTCGTTTTGGTAGAGAAAAGAAGAGTACGCACTATCGTTTGTAACCTCTTTACAAGAATTCATTTCCTTTGATAAAGTTCGGAGAAAAAATTAAGTTGTCAATAATGGCAACAAAAGAAAATTAACCAGTTGAAAAATTGTCAAATCTTGCAACTTTTGAGTTTAATCTGTTACGTTTGAACTCGCTTGCATCACATATCAAAATGATTCTGAAAATTATGCAGCTACTTTACCATTTCTTAAAAAGGATTTTTTTTTCTTTTTTTGAAAACGCATACACTTTAATTTTGGATTCTTGATTTGCTTTGCTGCGTGGAGTCTTGAATCTTTCCATACCTATGTTTTTAATATTAAAATCTGGCAACACTGCTCTCTTGTTTGTTATGAAAATAAAGTGAAAACAAAAAGTATTGATTATACTGATATTACGCATTTGATATCTCTCGACTTCTTTTGAATTAAAAGAAAAAGTAACTAAATTATTTAGGACTTGGAATGGACGGACTTAAAAGCACTCTGTTCCTTATGCTATATGGTTTTAAAGACTGCTTGCGAGGAATCTGGTGTCTGAAACATTTTTGGTTGCATTCTCAAAAACAGAAAGCTCAAAAAACAGGAACTTCAAAATCGCTTCTAGGCGTTTTAAAACAGTGTATTACCTTTAGCGCACTATTTTGGGTTGGAATATTTATTTTCAATCGTTATATTCTGAACTTCTGTATCCATCATTTATTAAATTCATTATTAGGGCCAGAATGGCAATATCTTCCTTTAGTCTCTAACATACTAGGACTTTTATTCAACGCGGTTTGGACGCTGCCACTTTTTTGTTTCAGCAAAGTACTACTTAATTTCAAATGGTACAATGAGATTGCAGAATTAACGTTCGACAACGTTGGCGGGAAGAGATCTCACACGAAGTTGAGCTATTCGTGGGGTGATCAGCTTGAGAGTGCTGTTGTGCAGTGTGTATTCATGCTTCAAGCTTACGCCATGCTGTGGCTACCCTTTCCACTTCACATCCAACATGTGCTGTGTCATGTACATTTGTCACTTCTGTATGCATTGTACTCCTTTGAGTACAAATGGTTTCAAATGGGATGGGGTTTACGTAGGCGACTAGCCTACGTCAATTCTAAATGGCCCTATTTCTTGGGCTTCGGCCTACCCCTTGTCCTAGTCTCGTCCTACGTCGGCAACTACATCGAGAGTGTGTGCTTATTTTCTACGTTGTTTCCGATTTATGTCGTGAGTAGCACTGTAACGATGGACAGCAGGGTGCAACACTACAGTCTTCCTGTGAAATTCTTTGAACCAGCTTCTCTGACTGTCAGCTGCATATTTGTCTTCGCATTCTCACTCATACATAAGAGAAAATAGTGTTTTTGCCCTACTTTGTTTTTATATGTATTTTCGACTGAGAAATAAATGTTGTTATTTTGTTTTTTTCCTTTTGTTTTCTTCATGTGTTGGATATGCGCGAAATAAAAAACCTAGTTCTAAATAGGTTCATGAAAAAAGTGCAGGCTTTAGCAAAGGTCTGTTTAGAAGAAATTTGGGTCCGTTAACGGACCCTTCGCAAAATATCTTTTCATAAAAAACGGACCCTTCACAAAATATTTTAACTTAAAAACGGACCCTTCACAAAATAATTTATCATTTAATCAGACCCTTCACAAATTTGTTCATCTTCATTATTGTTTTGTAAATAGAATAAACCCTTTCCAGGAAGGAGGGGAAAGAAAGATGTAAACAATCTAAGTTATGTCTTTGGCAGGCGCTTCTTCCTTTATTCGACCGAACTGAATATTCTGCGTTCAGAAGTATAGGCTAAATACCAAATATTTGTATGTTGCATCCCAACTGTTTGTCTACGATACGTGACAGCTACAAAGTCTGCGGCAGTCTGGTGCTATGTAAACAAGAAGAGGGCAGCTTCGATTATTGCTTGTATGGGAAGTATACCAGATTAGCTGACTCAGCCACCAGTAGGAGACTTATTTAATCTGATTCAAGAACTTTTTTAAGATTCGCATGAATATTTCTTTCTTACTTAAAATGATTTTCTCCACTCAATCGGTTGTTATTTTTCAAATACAAAGGAAAAAAAGTTAACAAATTCTGACATTAAGGGTAGTACAAGTTTTTTTAATATTGCTTTTTAAATTTTACGATATTTATTACGAATGTTCATTGATTGTTAGATGGTTTAATTTCTAAACTTGCACATATTTTAAAGCAGTTAATTTCTTTTATTATTTGAATTTTCTGGAAAAGTTAAGAGCTTAAACTTAATAACTCCGATTTTAAAAGGAGATAAAACTTTTGCTGAAAATAGAAATAGTTCACATTATCTGTGCCGGAGAAGTATTAAATACCTTTGTTTTTATTATTTATTTTTTTAAACTGAAAACAAGTTACCGCAACTAAGATGAAATCTAAAACTATCAACGATGATTTTTATCAGCACCCATCAAACCATCTGAAATTTTTTTTGTTTAAATTATGTTTTCTTATTTGTATTTTATTGTAACCTGTATAGTTTTTCTCACTATTTATTAAAAACAATTTTTATTAGCACATTTATTTTTTTCTTAATAACCAATTTACTATGTATGATAAATTTATAGATGAGTTATTTATTAATAAAGCATTGAGCTGCTTTAAACAATTTCAATTTGTTTGTATATTTGGACAAATAGTATCAATGAAAATCAAAAGAGAGCTGAAACATAAAAAGGAACAATTTATTCAAGTTATTAAATTTAATAATGAAAGATTTCCTGAAAGTTTGAAAATGTTAGTTACTAATGCTTCTTATGTGAAAACATGGTAGCTCTTTTAAAACCATTTGAAGGCCAGGGAAAACATCAAAGGGATTTTTCTTTAAAAGGTCTAAATATGTGTAAAAATAAATATTCATGCTCCAAACAGGAGTTTGACATTTATGAATAGTACAATAAGAAGGATACTCTTTATTGTGAACTGCAGGGTGCCTGTAAGTTTTAGTCCCTCTGTTACTGCCCTCTGATGAGAAATGAGTCATCTCTTTTGTAAGCTCCATGAGAAATCTTAGTTTCACTAGAAATATATTCCTTTAGGTTCCCTGAATCTATGCCCTTTTTACCCATTCTTTTCACTGGCTTTTACGCTAACATTAATGACAGGAATAAGCAGGGACAAGAACAAAAAAATTGCTTGCTTAAACGTTTTGTTGCAACAGCTCTTTCAATAATTTCTCTTGTTACAAAAATATGAAGGCTCCTTTTGTTGGAAAGGGGTTTCAAGGAGTCAAGAAAAGTTTGATGAATGTGAAAGAAAAATGGAATAAGCTTAATTAATAATAATTTAATTAAATTTTTTCTCCTTTAAGCTTTCAAGGAATAATAAGCAGGGGTCTGTTTAGAAGCAATTTGGGTCCGTTAACGGACCCTTCACAAAATAATTTATCTTTTAATCGGACCCTTCACAAATTTGTTTATCTTCATTATTGTTTTGTCGATCAAATAAACCTTTCCTGGGGGGGGGAGAAAGACGGTTGTAAATGAACTTAAGTTTTGTCTTCGGTCGATGCTTCTTTCTGATTCTTTTAACCAGCTGTCCTTTTTTCTCATCCCACCATCTCCTCCTCCACTGTTCNTTTTTTTTGTAAATAAATAATAGATCAATTTATATTTATTCATAAAATTACTTAATAGAAAATTATGTAAATAAAAATTAATTTCCGGCAATTTCTTAAATAAAATATAAATTTAAGAATTGTTTATATTTACTTAGTACGTTACAAATTAAAAGTGATCATCAGCATCTATAAGTTGACCTCAAACAGAAACAAGTAATCAACTTATACAGGTTTCCCTGTGTAATTTTCACATTAATGTTGTAGCTACTCCCAAATTTTGTGTCAAGGAATTCAAATCTGCTATAAAAATTAAGTACCTTCATTTATGTAGAAAATATTTGTATCCGATTCTGTTACATAATAAATAACAATCACTTATTAATTAGAACATTGGAGGTCTATCCTTAGAACAATTAAGATTAGTGTTTATTGTTTCTTCCAGAGTGCAAAAAAACTGCCCTAGAAGAAATAATTTTCTTCAACCCAAGTCGGGATTTGAAAAAACCCAGCCCGCCTGGGTTTTATTGAAAAAAAAACAGGGAAAATTGGGTTTTATTTGGAAAAAACCTGGGGGAAATTGGATTTTTTCATTGAGTGCTCATAAACTAAGTTTTACAGTGTAAATATCTTAATTAACTCATTATGAGTATAAGCTTAAAAATAGAAATAAATCCAAAAAGTTATTTTAAATTTGTTATGTATTCAATATTAAGTTTAAATAACGCATTATCACTAATACATATTTGAATCTTCTTTATCGTTAAGTACATAACGTTTCACAATTTTTAACTCAAGCATTATAAAATATAAATGCAGTAATATAAAAGGAACAAGTTTATTAATCTTTTTGTTTTCACACACATTTTTACTATATTTATTAAACATATACTATATATATATTACCTATTATAATCAGTAAATATTTATAATCAATAAAAATTAAAATTTCATCTGAGTTTTGACTTTAGTAAAAAACTGAAATAAATATTTAATGGTCTTCCATGTTTTTATAATAAGATTAATAGAAAGCGAAATTAAAATTATGTATAATTATAAAGAGTATCAGTTACTTGTCCCATTTTTTTCAAATAATTAACCCTAAGAAAATTATTTAATTTTTAGATAAATAATTTTAAAAAGTTTTAGCTTATTTTTTTAAAACCAGAAAATAAAACTGTTTAAATTTGTTAATGTATCACTTAGTTAAAAAAAAAAAAACATTTCTATTCAATTTTTTTAAACATAATAACAACCTGTTTAATTAATAATAATAACAACTTGTTTATTAATATATAAAGCATGCAACTATATTTGAAAAATTGATCTTTTCAGAGTAATTTCAATTTTTTTTAAAAAAATGCAATTAAAATATTACTTTTTGAAAAAAATCTACTTAAAGCTCACAATAGTACATGTCCTAGTGGCACATGTGCAACAACATCCCAAGTGGAACAAACTTCTTTTTAAAAAAATATAAAATAAAATGATGAAACAGTTTATAATTGCAACCTAGTTTACAAATTATTTGCACAACTCATTTAATAAATCATTTATAAATAAGTGAACAAAAAGACAGCAAACATAGTTGAACTTTATTTTATAATTATATTAAGAACCTCACTAATTGCCTATAAATTTACCTGTGCCAGCAGAGGAGGCTAGCAGCTTCTTTTATAATAACCAATATTTGTTCATCTAAGCAGAATAAAAAAAGTTGCAAATCAAAATTTTTAAAAAAAATTTAATACTAAACCATAAACTTTCATATAAAGAAAATTCAATAAAGTTGAATACTGAGAAAACAGAAATATAATAAGTTGCTTCACTAAACAGGGGTCTGTTCAGACATTTTGTGAAAGGTCCGCAAATAAGGTCCTGTTATTGCAAAGTAACTATTTCAAGGAGTTTTTAAATTGAAAATAGATACAAGATTATGCTCAACTCTGAAAAATTATAATTAAAAGAAATTACATTTTCAAAAATAAACAGCAATTGCTGCTACTAAATTAGAGATGCAACATAAAAATATTTATTATTTAGCCTATACTGCTGAATGCAGAATATTTATTTCGGACAAATAAAGGAAGAAGCGTCAGCCGAATACATGACTTAATTTTAATTTTTTAGAAATAATTAACTTTAATCATGTAAATTTGAAAAATGAAGAGAGTACTTTTTAGACCTCGATATTTTTAATGTTTATTGAATAAACATTAAAAATATCGAGAAACTTTATTCACACAAATTAAATTTATTTTATTTTTATAAATATTTGTAGAGAAATGTAGGGATTTTAAATATATCACTGAAACACTTATAAATCATTATTCAGGGGTGATAGTGAGCCCAACTCAAAAATCCTGAAAATTTCTTGAGTAAAATCATTAATAACCCATTTCAAAAAATTTATGTCTTCATAATTTAAATCATTGATATTTTCAAAACATAAAATTCTAAATAAGTTATATGCAGCATAATTTTATTTCACATCCGTTGTTGAACAGCTGACCCAATTTTGGGCTTACGACTACATATGTTCAACTTTGTAACCTTGTCATTTTGAACCAATCCAGAGAACATCCTGGATCACCTACCCCCAGAGGTTTTGATTTGTTATCACATTTATTATTCTACCAGTAAATATATTTACATACAAAAGAGACGCCAAGTATAAATTCTAATATTTTTAAATAAAATATACAAGAATTTTTATATATAAATGTGATTGATGATTTCTTGAACCTTCTGGACCTTGGATTTCCGGATTGCGGTTAGAGAAAAATCCAGATTTTTTTCCGAAGCACAATCATCTCTGATCATTACATCACTATATGTATAACAGGGGTTTCCAATTTGCATGGAGCTGGGGGCCACAATTGAAAACACAAATCAAATGGTGGGCCGCAACTTTATCAAAATTTTTTTGTAGGGCACTTTTATGTTTGAAGGAACATTAAATATTATTGTCAGAGTTTNTTCAAAATTTTTACAATTACATTCAATGAGAAAATTGAGGTTTGTCTGCTGCAACCACCAGAGAATAGATATTTACATTTAAAATTTGAATATATTTTCGTCCAAAATGAGTGGTTTCAAAAAGTTAAATCGGAGAATTTCTTCGAGAAAATTTCTGATACGCACATGCTAAGTTATATTCACAAAATACAAAAAAATGAGCAACATACACGATTATTTTTGTATTTGAATAAATATTTTCTTGAGTGCAAAACTTAAAACTGGCGGGCCCCGGGCCGCCAGTTGGAAACCCCCGATATAATTTTGATCTTTATAAAGAAAAAAAATGGTAATGACAGTATGTATATTGCAATAGAATTTTTTATTTGAAACAGAATTAATTAGTCTAACGAAAAGGATCTTTAGAATACCAAGTACGGGTATTAGTGGCCGTAGGTTTAATGTCGAGATGATCGACAGAAACACTGACTGCTTCGTCTTCACTCGACAGTTCCCTCTCCTTCACCAGGGGAGTCGCTGCATTATCAGCGAGGAATATCTCGTCGTCAGTGCTATCATCATCATCATCAATGTTTGTCCACTTGCTCGCTCCACCCTCAAAAACAGATAATTCTGTTTCTTGCAGAATTTTTTTGGCTTTCAGACCAGCCTTTGACACGGCTGGCGGGTACGTTTTAGGTGGAATGGCAGATGACAGTGTCGCAGTCACAGTGACATCCTTTTCAGTTTCTTTGATAATGTCGCTAAGATTTGTTTTCATGACGGGTAACCTCGTACCCAGAATGGTGGACGACTGGATCCTGTTCAGAAAACCGATGGCGGCTTTCGTCGCCCTCTTGTACGCATCGTCGTCTAGGGCTTTACGTATTTCCTGGGTCAAAGCCTGCGATCGCTTCAGCCCTACATCCTCGCACTTCTGAATTGTGTCGGACGAAAGAAGCAGGGCCCCGATTCTATGAATCAGGCAGATTTCTTGATGGGCATTCACACACACGACGTAACATCCATCCGCAATTCTTTCTTCGACGTTCGAGGGATCCGTGACGATGCGATCGGCAAACAATGCGAGATTGATGCAGATCGGCATGTGATGTAGATTGAGGGCAACCGGTTCCCGCTCCTCTAAAGAATAAATAGACACTTCAGTGCCGATGACGGTGACGTCAGGTCGCTTAAAATGCGCCAGGGCAGAAATGGCAGCTAGACTGGCACATTCGACTAGATTGCCATCATTGTTTAGTGCGTGAATATCAACGCGAATGGTCCACACTTTAGAGCCAGCGACAATGCAAAGGGATTCTAAATCGATGCACTTACTGTCTCGGATGCAGCGCTCGAGAATTCGCTGCAATTTCACATTTTCGTCAGACATTCGAGATTGATACTGAATATCAGGAGAGGACATGGCAGAGATTTCTACATTGATATACAAAGCTCCTTCGGTCGGACTTCCAGACTTGGGTTCAACCACTTCGGCACTTACTTGTGCAAGAATTTGAGTACTTCCTAATGCAACCAAACAACAACCCCATTCTTCTCCAAATATTATTTCCATCGAGCGACCTTCCGACAGACTACGTCCATCCAATCGACTATTCGTAGCAATACACTTTATTACAAACTCTCTCTCACACGTAGAAATTACTTTCATGTTTTATGATAACTTTTACTCACGTTGAAGCTATAAACTAGCAGTAAGGCTTTGAGCTACTTATTTCTTCCCGTCTTAACCCTTAATTTAATAATAGAAACTTATAAGCCTGCATTTATAGTCAACCCGAAACTTCCTATGGAAACATTTTGCTGTTGAGCAAGATATTATTTTTATTTTTTTGTTAATTTAATGATTTATCGTGGCTTCCTGAAAAAAATGTGACTCGTGATTTAAGAAACTAAAATTTGGCAACAAAACATACTGGCACGGGGGTGACCTACGGGCGAAGACGTCTGCTCGTTATTTCGATCTCGAAGAAACACGAGCATTCTCCGGCTGTTATTGGTATTTATTTAGTAATTAAGGATGATCACGATTAGTTCTTTACGATATTTGTCGAGAGTGTTTGAAAAGCCACCGACACTGTTATGTAATTTACTAGTAAGTTCCACTTCCAGGTGTGCATTTTTTCATAAATCGAAACTTCTGACCAACAATTTCAAAATCGAAATAAAAATGCCATCTCTCTCTCCAACAATGACTGAAGGAACCATCGTGAAATGGTTGAAAAAAGAAGGAGACTCCATCGAACCTGGCGATGTCTTATGCGAAATACAGACTGATAAAGCTGTCGTTGGTCTGGAAACAGAAGAGGAAGGAGTTTTAGAAAAAATTATTATCCCCGAAAATACACAAAACATTCAACTCGGGGAGATAATAGCCATTATTTTGGGTGAAGGACAATTGGATGAAAAACCTTCTGTAGACTGTGTCTCCCAGAGCCCCACCAATGTCTCCCAGAGTTCCACCAAAGTCTCAAAGAGTTCCACCAATGAGCTGCTAGGCCCCTCGGTTAAAAAGTTATTGCATGAATTTGATATAACACGCACTGATATTCCCAGTTCTGGTCCGAAGAATAATCTTCTTAAAGGTGATGTGCTTAAATTTATCAAACTCCGTAATCTTAAACCTTTGAAATTAGAACAGAAACCCAAAAAGGCAGTCGTGAGTTCTAAAACCAAAGAGACTTTCGTGGATGTCCCTATTTCGTCGACTGAAATGGAGAGTGCCCACCAACTCGTCCAGTCAAAGATGTCGATGCCCCACGGGTACATGAGCGTAGATTGCACACTCGACCACACTCTGAACTATATGAAAGACGTGTCTTTAAATGAGTTGATTATAAAATGTGCCCTCACCTCCCTGAAGAGAGTCCCTAAAATGAACTCTGTGCGTAGCAATAATGGGCAGCTGCAATTCTCAGACTGTGTTAATATTTCAATGACTCATTTTAATGACGGCAAATGCGAAACTGCATTCATCGAGAACGCGGGTGGCCTGTCATCTATTTCTGAAGGACAGCAGTCTTCAAAGAGTGCATTTAGAATTTCTAATCTCAGTGCCCTCGGTATAACCGACTTCGTGGAGGTAATTTCGCCGAGTAACGTCGCAGTGTTGGCCGTCGGTGGCGTCCGGTCGGTTTTCGAAGAAGGTTCGTCGGTGAGAAAGATGCGAGTGACGTTATCCTTTGATAACTGTGTTGTGGAAGAGACTGAAGCTGGTGAATTTTTGGAGACTTTTAGAAATTGTTTAGAAAATCCTCTTATACTTATGTGTTAAAGTTAGTTGGAAAAAATATATATATAATATAATCAGAGCTCATTCTGGGCAGAAAAAAGAGGCATTATTATTCTAAAAAGACAATAATTTCTTTCTATGGGCTTTACACGCTCTATTAAATAACATTGTAAATTAGTAAAAGAATTTTTTTTTTACTTTACTAAAAGTAGCAAAGCAATCATATTAATTACTAATTTTTATTAATGAATGAACATATATATCGAGTTAATGAGCTAATTAGCTTAGTAATTCATTTAAAATGCATGCATATATTAATAAATGTATGTTTTTGAGTGTCTGTAGTTATGAATAAATAATTAAAATGATTAATAATAATTATGATTTAATGATAGTGGAAGTAACTGCAAACTTTCAAAGACAAGTGCAACAAGGGGGTGTGATGGCTATTTTTCCTTTCCCATATAAATCTACGTATTGACAGCAATGACAAACTAAGTAAAAAGAGTTGAAAATAACAAAAGTTTAAGAAATCCATTGTAGAGTTTGGGGAAAAAATAAAGAAGGGTTGAGGAAAGAAAGGGAAAAAAGGGTATGGAGTCTATTACATCAGGGCACTAATTTACTTTCGGGGCAACAGGATAGATTCTTTTGACTAAAAGGGCAGCAGGGTGCTGCACCCTGTTTATCCTGCCTAAAATGAGCTCTGATATAATCAATTTAAAAGAATTCCCTTTTTTAAAAAAAATGAAGCACTTTTATTTTGCAAGTATCAATTTCATATGATCTCCTCCCTCAGGGTGCGTAGCGTTTTTAAAAAGTGCTTATTTTCTTTTTTTAAAAGTTCTTAATTTTCCCTTTTCCAAGTTTAGATTTTTCCTTTACCATGTTGATTTTTGCTATGAATTAGGCAGAAAGACATTGTTCTATTCAAAATTTTTACAATTACTTCAACCCTAATCTATTTCGGCACATCGTCAGACTGTAGCATATGAAAACGACATTCTATTTACATTATTCAAAAATCTTGACAATTGTCAGAAACAACGGCAAAAGAATTTTTTTTTGACATGACTGTTAAAACAAGATAAAACCATCAACTGTTTTAAAGTGCTTAAAAATATTATTTGAGTGCTTAAAAGGTGCTTATTTTTTGTTAATTAATTTGGCTACGCACCCTGTCCCTTGTTCATCTTTTTCAATAATGTAACTTATTCTTTAGATATTGTGCTGAATTTCGTTTCTGGAATCGGCTGGACTTTGGCAAATGTAGGAAATAGATTCTGTGACTTTCAGCCGAATAAAAATCAAAACTTTACGTTCAAAAATGAACTAATATCCTGGGAATGCATTTCGTTTTTCTTAACGGCTCTTGTCTTTTCATTTCAAGTATTCTTTAAATGTGCTTATTAAAGTAGTTTGAATATCTTAAATACAGGGATAAAAAAAAAAAAGATTTTGTTACTGATTAAAAACAAGATGTTTTGATTGTTAAAATGTGTCTGGAAAATTTTGAAGAAACAGACGTCAGATGTAGAATTTTGTACTGTATCTAGTATATTAAAATTTATAAGTAAACTAATTAGGGTTTCACCAGAAATAGTCTAATTCTCTGTGTATTCTGACATTTATATTTTTCAATATCTAACTTGTGGAATTAGGAAATATTGATTAAAACAATAATGATTATGAATTTTTGTATTTTTAGGTAATTTCCATAATTGTTGTTGTTTCTAATGCCACTTGCCACACGGGCAAGCCTGCTTGGTGAAACCAAGCAAATTTAAGGCAGAGTGTGTGTTTCTTGTTTTTCAGTGGCGCCATCTATGGCCAAGAATTCGACTTCTGCCACACCATATGTCGCACCCATTTATAGGGTAGACCCATTCATTCCTCCACAGATCATCATTTTGACCAAATCAGAGAACGATCGATCTCCAATCCAGTACCCCCAGAGGTTTTGATTTGTTATGGGAACATGGAGGACTTTTGCGAATCAACAGATTTAGCGTGCATCAGTCACTTTTACTACACAGGAAGTCTTCGACCGGCGGGGTTCAAACTCTCGGACATGGACCCAGCACTCTATCAACCAGGCTATCCCGGCCCTCATTTTCCATTATGACAACTGTTATTGCTTGTAACAGAGTATTCGCATTCCTGGGAAATCTGTGATTTTGACTTTTAACGAAATTTGTCGCGAGTTTCAATTAAGAATGCTAAAAAAAATCGTGGAAGCACCCAATTCGTCATGGATTTTGGGTATTATTGCTCTTAATCCTGTTGCGTGATATGAAAATCATAAATCGTGATTTAAAAAATGTCACGATCACACATGTCACAATCCTTATTCGTGCAATATTAAAAATTAACCAATGTAATAAGTATTAGTGTGATTTAAATATAGCAGTGTGTAATCTTTATTTGTGGGATTTTAAAAAAAATCACTCATTACGATCTGATTTAAAGGATAAGCATAATTTTTTTTTAGTCACAATATTTAAAAATAACATGACAAGATTTATATTTGCTCGATTTAAATATGAAATATTGCGATTCGTATTTGCGCAAATTAAAAAGTTGCTCCTTGTGATGCGATTTAAAAACCATGCATTGTAATTCATATTCACATGATTAAAAAAATCAAGTGTGAACATAAAATATTTAAAACTTTTAACAATGTTAGTTTTGGTTTAAAAAATCTAAGTAATATTTTTTTTTCTGTTAAAGATTTGACATGTATTTTTTTAATTTCATTTGATATATTATGATAAGAAATTAAAATGTTTTTATTTAATATTTTCATAATTATCATCTATTTGATAATATTGAATTTAATACAAAGTCAAATGAATTGTGTTTGAAGTTGGATTCTTACATGTTTCTTCTTCATTTCATATCTATTTACAAGACAGTAAATTATTAAAAATATATGTCACACTGAAATGTCCCCTTCAACTAGTTTTCTTCCCTTCTATGACATATTCGTTAAGAAGTAAACCAAATATCATTTCATTATTATGTATAATTGACAAATAAATAAAATTTTCTTAGAATGTAGGTTACTCAATATTGAGAATTTTAAAACCATACAGTTTATACATATTAAAATGTGATATAGTCTTAAAATATTGGGTTGAGTAAAAAAAATTTCGCCAAAAGTCTCCGCTCCGACATCAGCCATTCTTGTCATAGTAAACCTTTCTCCAAACAAGTTTTTGTATTCTAAAGTAGAAAGTTGCAACTGTGTAATTTGTTTGTCAAAACTTTATTATACTTGTGCACCAAAAAAGTGTTCAAAATGTCAGTTGTCCACAGATCAGAACGATTATCAGTGTTTTCATCTCAGAAAAAAAATGGGTGAGAATTTCTCACCCTTTCTCAAAAACAGGATGAGATTTCAAAAAGTTAAGTGAGATTTCAAAAATTTAAAAAAAAAAAAAAATACTCAATGAGACTTGAAAAAAAAAAATCATTTCTTTAATTATAATGCATTTTTAACGTCTTCTAATTTTTAAAGCATTGAATATTTTTGCTGCATCATCATATGGAAAATGTTCTACATCTACTTTTTCATCAGCTATTCTCATTAGGTTGCTCAAATGCGTATCTGTTTCGTTTTGATCGTTTCTACCCACATTTGTTTCATTTTCATTTGTCCGTTTTGGAGTTGAAGATATTGGCTTTACAAGGTATTTGTCCATCTTACATTAACGAGCAAAAAATTTGAACGTCTTAGATGAAGAAACCTTACCTACGGTAAACACGTGGTTGCAGAGAACACGTGGTTGCCTTCTGAAAGAGGTTCCGAGGAATGGTGTTCTGTTGTTCTTAAAGGTTCTGAACAATACTGGTAAATAGGGAAGCTAGATAATGGGGCAGATGTTGAAAATAATAAAAGATCCAGGAAGAAAAGTGAAACGGATTTAATTCTAAATGGCGCAAATGAGAAATTTTTTTCAAAATGCGAGAAATTCGCGAATTTTGAAGTTTGTTTATAGAATGCGCGAATTTCTCGCGGTAATCATTTTTTAATGCGAGAATATAAAAAAATATGCGAGATTCTCGCGATCTCGCGCTGTAGTGAAAACACTGAGTACTACGAGTTCCAAAATAAACACGGTGCCACAATAAGAATGTGTGAAATTTTAGGTTTTAGTACTGTTTCTTATGATACAATACAGTGTTTTCATCCTAGAAAAAAAATGGGTGAGAATGTCTCACCCTTTCTCAAAAACAGGGTGAGATTTCAAAAAGTTCAGGGATATTTCTAAAAACTAAAAAAAACACAAAAACTCTTGAAAAAAAATTATTTCTTTAATTATAATACATTTTTAACGTCTTCTATTTTTTAAAGTATTGAATATTTTTGGTGCATCATCATAGAATATTTTGCCTTTACAAGGTATTTGTCCATCTTACATAAGTGCATAAAAAATTTGAACGTCTTACATGAAAATAACCTTACTTACGGTAAACACGTGGTTGCAGAGAAATGTGTTCTGAAAGGGGTTCCATGGTTGTTTTCTAACAATACTGGTAAATAGGGAAGCTAGATAATGGGGCAGATGTTGGAAATAATGAAAGATTCAAGAAGAAAAGTGAAACGGATTTTATTCTAAATGGCGTAATTCGAAGCTTTTTCCAAAATGCAAGAAATTCACTAATTTTGAAATTGATTTATAGAATGCGCGAATTTCTCGCGGTAATCATTTTTTAATGCGAGATACTTGCGCTGTAGTGAATACACTGTAATAATAGTTTAGTTTCGAAAGTTTAAAACTGGGAATTTTGACATTTAAGATTAACCACATTTTGGCTGCCCCTATTGAGGTTTATTGTGACCAGAAATTATTGACTGGTCATTTCTGACCCTCTGAAATACTTCACTTATAGTCAATTTTAATGAATTAACAAAGCAGTTTTAAATCGTGTAGTTCTAGTCTGATAATTGAGAAAATGTCATGGTTAACCCAGGGGTCTGTCCAGGCCGAATTTACTACCTGTACCTTCACAAATTCAACTTAAAGGAAAAACAATAGTTTCACAAAATACATTTTCTTAAAATTTTGTTTTTTTTTATCCCATAAGAAACGATAAATCCATATTTATGTGTTGATTTTTTAATATAATTTTTAATTGTTCACAAATTATGACAACATTTTCACAAAATAGGTACTACCTCTCAGAAAAAACTAGACAGGCCCCTGTTAACATATACAAATGTATTTCAATAAATGACCGAATTCATTAACTAGTGAGATTTCATGTCGGGTGGGCATTATATTAGAATTCAAGATAAAAATTATTTAAGTTATTTTAATTTGTTGAATAGAATAAATATAATTGTTGCACAATTATAGAAAAACATTTTTCATACCTTTTCAGATAACTTTTAGTGTTAATACTAAATGTAAATGGTACTTTTCCATTTCGCCAGCGCAAGTAAATTCAGCTATTCTATTTTTTTTCCTTTCAAAAATAGCCGTTATCTAAAAAATGAAAACAGTTGAATTACTCAGTGATTTTGGAATGGGGACTTCATCACAGTACCATAAATACTTTTAGCACTCTCACATATCAGCTTTTAAAGAATATGTGGCATATTCTAATGAAATATATTGCATAATTGCATTCATTTCAATGAATATGAAATGCAAAAATTACATTTAGAATTCATAATTATTTTACATACTCTGAAATAAATAAATTATCAAACATTAAAAAAAAAAAAATCCAATTTTCTCCAGCAAATAAAGGGAACATAATAATTTATTTCTAATTTTAATTAATGATAGCCCATTATTAATAATATAATGACATTAATTTTTTAATAATAATCTATTTACATATTTTGGAATATGTTATTTATATTTTCTATAAATACTTTTTATTCATTTAAATTTTTTACATTTAAACATTACAAATGTACATTAAACATTGGTGCACCTAAGTAATTTTTGGTTTTTACCCTTTTTTAAGAATATAATTTTTTGTTTTGTTTTTTTATTTATTAAAAAAATATACATATATTTATTAAAAAAAACTACCTATTATTGAAAAGTAAAGTTTTTTGTAGTATGCTATGTTTAAGAGTAACATTGAAATAATATGTTGCATATTGTATGATTCATTGCATAAAAAATCACTTCATTCTGCCAGATGTTACGGTTACATGGCTTTCTTTGGATGATTTAGAAATAGCATCTGGATGTTTCGATGCATTTTGAAACTTATTTTAGCAAATTTACCATAAAATGTTGCACATGTTCTTCAATTACGATAAACCACATTTATCATCAAATCCCGCTATTTATTTACATATTTTTATATTTTGGAATATGTTATTTATATAATATAATTTTGTTTTTTTATTTATTAAAAAAGTATACCTATATTTATATTTAAAAAAACTACCTATTATTGAAAAGTAAATTCTTTTGCAAGGAGGAAGTCTGATCAAAACAGTCTACAAAAAGTATCATAATGAATAGTCAAAAATAAGGAGGCTTTAGGGTTACTAATTTCTTTGGCTCAAAGCCTAGAGCCATTATCAGGGGTGATCGTGAGCCCAAGTAAAAATTCCGGAAAATTTCTTGAGTAAAAAAAAAAAAAAGAAGTTTAAATCGAAAAATTAGAAAAAAAATTTAAACAAGTTTTTTTCTTTTTCTCAATATTTCTTAGTTTACTTAAAATATATTTAAAATTTTACACATACCTATGATGACCTGGAGAAGTAATTGAAATTTACAAATATGTCTTTCTTTCTTGAGTTTATGATTATAATAACTATTTACTTATAAAAAAATGAATATTAATCTTGAATATAAGCTTATACGAGGGTTGCTATTTATATTTCTGGCCTTGGCAACAGTAAGTGTTGCTAGGCGACCGCAGACGATTTTAATCGAAAGTTTGATATTTTTAAACATAAATTCAACAGACGATTTACCATTATAGCTTTATTTGTGTTGTTGACAGTAAATTGAAAAGTTCTTCTCTTTCAAAAAATGGAATTGAATCGTGAACATTTTCGTGCCATTATTTTTCATAACTTTCGACGTGGATTGTCAAGACAAGAGTGCTTCGATGAACTTAATTCTTTATTCAGCGATAAAGCGCCATCCTACAGCACTGTAAAAAATTGGTATAACGAATTTAATCGTGGTCGATGTTCGATCCAGGACGAATCCCGTGCAGGTCGTCCAAAATCCGTTGTTGTGCCAGAAAAGATCGATGCTGTGCGTGAACTGATAAAGCAAGATCGTCATGTGACATACCGTGAGATAGAGGCGTCTTTGGACATTAGTATGACTAGCATCAATAAAATATTGCATGAACATTTGAGCGTAAAAAAAATTTGTTCGCGTTGGATCCCGCATAATCTGACAAACGCTCAAAAAAAGGCTCGTGTCGATTGGTGCAAGGAAATGTTGGAAAAATACGTTCAAGGTACATCAAAGGCTGTGTATAACATCTACACAGGTGACGAATCATGGATCTATGCATATGAGCCGGAAACAAAACAGCAATCAACTGTATGGGTCTTCCAAGACGAGGCAAAACCAACAAAAGTTGTTCGAGGAAGAAGCACATCGAAACAAATGATTGCCTGTTTCTTCGGCATTAACGGTCATGTGGCAACAGTGGCGTTAGAGCAACGCAGGACGGTCAATTCTGAATGGTACACGACCATTTGTTTGCCAGAAGTCATCGGAGAAATTCGAAAAAAGCAGAAGAACAGGCGAATCATTCTTCATCATGACAATGCGAGCCAGAGTATATCGACTCAAACAAAGGCATTTCTGACGGAGCGAAAGATCGAACTGATGGGTCATCCGCCATACAGCCCTGATTTGGCCCCCAGTGACTTCTTCTTATTCCCACACATCAAAAAGAAATTACGTGGACAACGATTTTCGACCCCCGAAGAAGCGGTTGATGCATTCAAAACGCATGTTTTGGAGTTACCTCAATCGGACTGGAAAAAGTGCTTTGAATATTGGTTCAAACGAATGCAAAAGTGTATTGATCATCATGGAGAATATTATAAAACCAATTTCGATCCTACATATTTGTTTTTTATTATTAGGCCAGAAATATAAATAGCAACCCTCGTAAAGTATCTCTCTGGCTCTCCCTTACAAACAGATAAAATAAACTGTGCTTTTAAGTTCCACCTTCTTGAGTAAAATCAATTTCTTGAGTAAAATCAATAAAGACGCATAATCTCTTTATAAATTTAAATCATTGATATTTTCAAAACATTGAATTCAAAATAAATTATATACAGCATGATTTAAATGAATAATTATGTATAAGTTTATTTCTATCTCTAATCACACTTATTATTCTACCAGAAAAAAATATTTACAAATGAAAGATGCCAAGTATAAATTCTAGTTCTAATATTTTTAAAAAAATATACAAGAATTTTTATACATAGATGTGATCGATTTTTTGAAACTTCTGGACCAAAGATTTCCGGAAACTTCTGGAGCGCAGGTAGGGAAAAATCCAGATTCTTTCCAGAAAACAAGCACCTCTCCTTTATTTGTTTTTTGTTTAAACGAATAAATAGCTAAAAGGGGTGATAGCAATCAAACTGATGCAACTATTTATTGGGTTTTTACTACCTCATTAAATATACACTGTTAAATGTTAATAATGAGTAAATCCAAATCTCAAAAATAAAACTTCTTGTCTATACTTTTTTGTCCAATGGATACACAGGAAGTTTTTATTATGTGATAGCTAACTTAACCATAGCTGCCAACCTTAGGAATAAAAAATTAGGAACACTATGTGCGACAAAATTATATGCACCAATTACGATAATAAGAATAAGATAAAAATTTAACTATAGAATAATAACATTAATTGACATATATTTAAATACCTTATGTAAATTAGTCAAACAAAATTAGAAACACTATCTTTTGTGGGAAATTTATAATATTAATATTTTATAATTAGGAATACCGGTATAATAGTTTAAAAAACAACCAATACCTATTAATACATAATTATTCTTCTCCAAATTATTAAAACACAGGTAAATATTAAACTACATCGTAAACATATGTTTCAGATGCAAGTGTTTAAATACTACAACACATTTTTAAAAAAATAATAATAGTTGTTTAAGATTCAATTTAGTGAAATGATCAACAGCTGTTGGAATAGTATTTTCCAATAAAAAGCTACTAAAAATGACTTCTGCACAACAATCATAGGAAGCGCGCTTGCGACAATCAGAACAAGGGATTGGTTTAAAAGCAAAAATACAGCAATTTTACAAAAATTCGGATTTTTTATAAAAATATCAGATTTGATTTAAAAATTAGGAACACATCCGAAAAATTCTGAACAGTTGGCAGCTATGACTTAATATCATTTACACTCATTTAATCATCCAGAGTTAAAATATTTTAACATTTAAAAGTTTCAGTAAATATTTAATTAGAGATGATAATATTCCATAATCATTATTTCTCCTGTTGAAACAGTTTGGGAATATGTGTTGGTTGTATTTTTAATTGTTTTTATATCACTGCTAAAATCAGTTTGGCACATAATTTCAGCTCTAGTTAAAGAAATGTCATTCGTTTGGCAAGTTATTGGATTGCTCTGTCGACATCTGTTCTCCACTGCTTCTGTTTGACAGCTACATTCTCTTGTATCGGTAACTTTTTCAAATACTATACCATTAATAAGGCAATTGTTGAGTTCTTTAAAAGCACTAAATTGTTGCATAGCACTCAACTGCAAATTTGAAGCATTTAGACAAAGTGTCTCACTCTGAACTGATGCAGTTTCTAGTAAATTGCAAATTTCATCCTTTTCTGGCATTGAAGTAGATGATCTGGAATTACGATCATCCATTCCAATGCATTCTTTTGACAAGTTGAATGATTTATCCTGATTGTTTATCAGGTCAAAGCTCATTGTCTTTAGTGAATCCTCATTTGCATAGCATACATGCTCACCCTCTTTGGAAACCATAAAGGCAATCCATATTTTGTGTGGGATTTCTGACAGGGAGATATAACAAGATACTTTGTCACCCACAGCTAAACATCTGAAACAATCTAAACAAGATTCATGTTCCTCACAAAAAAACACAGATTGGACGAAGTATATGATTTGCAATCGGGATTCAATACGTGTTTGAGCCAGGCAAGAATGAGATGTTAAAAGCGTCACTTCAGCTCTTATAGTCTGCAAAGGATAGCCAACGCTTGAATATCTTGGTGCGTTGTCTCCGTTTTCTGTCTTGTTAGAATCAGTTTTTAAAATGCTATCAGTTGAAATGCACTTGCTTGGATATGTTTTAGGTACCAAACTCTTTGCTTCAGCAACATTGACTAGATCGTTTAAAAAAACCTTGTCATCACCATCAGAAAATTCATTCTGTTTTTTGCTCAATTCTGGAATTACGTGAATTTCAGAAATATTATTTTTTTTATCTATTCCTAGTAAAGTAGTACTATCAACAGAAAATTCTTTTTGTTTTCTGCTCAATTCCGGAATTACATGAATTTCAGAAATATTATTTTTTCTATCGATTGCTAGTAAAGTAGTACTATCATCAGAAAATTCATTCTGTTTTCTGCTCAATTCTGGAATTACATGAATTTCAGAAGTATTATATTTTCTATCGATTCCTAGTAAAGTAGTACTATCATCAGAAATTTCCAGCTCTTCATTCTGAAAATGATTCTCATTAAATGACGGCTCTAAAGCATTTTCAACAGCAGGTGATTCTTCAGCTGACAAGAATGAGTAATTGTCATCTATCAGCTGTGCTTGTTTAGTCACAGCTTTATTTTCAATTACATTTAAACTTCGTTCTTTGACAAACATTCTGATTTCGGCTTCACTGTCATACTCATCAACTCCTTTTTCGCCTGAAATTAAACCCATTTCCATGTTTTTGAAAAATTCTTTTTTGAACTTACCACAATTAATTGAATCTGTAGTAGAATGATTTGACTTTTTCTCTTGATGATATGATATATTGAATGTACGATCATCGTCATAAAAAGAGCTTAAATTTTCATTTGATTTATGAGACAAACAGGTGAAATCTTCATGTCCAGAATCAACTATACTGTTCTCAACATTTTCAGTCTCTGTCTGTTTATCATAATGTAGAAGCCTGTTAATTCTATTGATCTGATTGACGCTATCAACAATATCATTTGAACCAGTTTTTTTAGCAAATTTGTGGATGGGCACAGTTTTTTCTTGAACTGCAGGATGAGTGTAATCAGTTTCATCGTATAGCTCAGTGAAGTCATAAGCATTTTCTGAGGTTTCAGATTTATCGTCAGAACATGAATTCTCATTCGATGTATCGAACAATACATTTAAACAAAGGTCCTCCTCATAACCTGAATCAAACATTTTCTCGTACTCAATATTTTCATGAATAGTTATTTTCAGTTCATCATTTTGTGAAGGCTGATTGTTCTCATTGTCAGTGACACTTTCAATGAAATGATTAGAATCGGTAAACTCACAGGAGTGGGCATTTTTTTCAAATTTTTTTTCTTGAACTCCAGGTTGATTGTGTACATTAAAAAAATCATTGTCTGCTGAGTCACTCCATCCAATTTCAAACTTTGTATCTCTTAAAGAATCAAAATCCGAAGTAACTGTGTTTTCAATTTTATTTTTGTTCTCCAAGGGTTTGTCATTATTCTGCAAAAATTTAATTTTTTCAGACGGTTCAGTCAAATTATGAGTCCTATCAGAGGTTCCTAAATTATCATCAGGATATGAACTGGAAATCTCATTTGATTCGTGGGACAATAAGTCTGAATAGGTTAATTCATCTTCCTCACACTTAGAATCGAACTTTGTCTCATTTGATTCGGATTCAATTTCATTTTTGTTCTCAACGGGTTTGTCCTTATTCTGCAAAAATTTAATTTTTTCAGACAGTTCAGTCAAATTATGAGTCTTATCAGAGGTTCCTAAATTATCATCAGAATTCGAACTTGAAAACTCATTTGATTCGTGGGACAGTAAGTCTAAATAGGTTAATCTGTCTTCCTCACACTTAGAATCAATCTTTGTCTCATTTGATTCGGATTCAATTTTAATTTTGTTCTCAACGGGTTTGTCATTATTCTGCAAAAATTTAATTTCTTCAGACAGTTCAGTCAAATTATCAGTCCTATCTGAGGTTCCCAAATTATCATCAGAATACGAACTTGAAAACTCATTTGATTCGTGGGACAGTAAGTCTAAATAGGTTAATTCATCTTCCTTACACTTAGAATCAAACTTAGTCTCATTTGATTTGGGTGACAGTTGAATTGAGTTACCTTCATATGTAAAATCAGACTTTTTTTGATTGTCAAGTTTAGCAATGTTAAATTCATCATTTTGCAAAAGCTTATCAATTTCTTTGATTGATATGTGTGCAATGCTATGAGCAAAACCATTTGAACTTTCAGAGAAGTCACAATCGAGCATTTTTACTTCTTGACTCACTCGATTATTTGCAGAGTCACTCCCTTCATCGCCAATTTCTTTCGGTGATTTTAGAATAATGTCATCTAAAACGATGGTATTTTTTGTACACTCTAAGTTTTGTTCAGATTCTTTGCAATTCACAGTAAGGTTCATTTTTATAGTAATCTGGGATTCATTATACTTTTCAGAAGTTTCAAAGTTAACTCTGCTTTCTCTTAAAAGATGCTCTTCTGGATACTCATCGATTCTCTCTTTTGAGTCTTCAGTCTTGATAACATCTTCTAGTTTGTTGGTAGCATTCACTTCATTTTTGTAAGTTCCATTTTTAATGTATGCGTCAGTTTTGTGTTTTAATGTCATGTTTGCATCATTTTCAATATATGTATCAGTTTTATGTTTTAATGACATGTTTGCATGATTTTCAATGTATGTATCAGTTTTATGTTTTAATGACATGTTTGCATGATTTTCTTTGAGTGATTCAGTTTTCGATTGCGTGGTTTTCAAATACAAATTATCTTCCCACACATTTTCAATGTATGCATCAGTTTTATGTTTTAATGTCACGTTTGCATCATTTTCTTTAAGAGATTCATTTTTTGATTGTGTGGTTTTCGAATACAAACTATCTTCCCACACAGTAATTTTCTTCAGTTCTGGAATTAATCTTTTTGTCGAATTTTCAGACAGCAATAAAGGTTCCTCATTTCCTTCAGAAACTGAACAATTTTGAATTAGACAATCAGAGAATTCGTTTATCATTTCATTGTCTGCAATACTCACTTTTATATCATACTTATAAGAACTTTCTTTTTGTGCTTCGTGGTCATAATTTTTGAATCTCATATTAGACTCATCTAAATTTCGAAACGAATCATTATTAACATTATCATCAGTGTTTTTTGGTTGTATATTAAATTGGTTTACATCAACCTTTTTCTGACGCTTATTGCAATTATGATTAAAACTATCTTCTGGTATGATTCTGCCAGTTGAATTCACATAAAGCAGGGATGATTCTTCAAACATTTTGCAAGCAAGTGTTCCCTCTCTATTCTCGGGTCTTCTACCGTTAAATGATTCAGATTGCAAAAGCGAATCCACAGCATCTTTCAAAGAGTCATCATGAGGATCACTTAATGCCTCCTTGAGAAGTTCTTTAAGACTTCTCAAAACCTTGTCGTGGGATGGCGCGAGGGCGACTTTCCCAGGGACATCGGTCTGAAATATTTTTGGAGAATGTTTAAAAAAATTGTTAAATGTCTTGTGCGCGAACTTGATGTGATCCTTCACGTGGGCAGGCGCTTGAGAAAGATATCCACCTAACTTATCTATGGCATAGGGTGTCTGCTTTTGGTGTAAAATCTTAACGAAAAACGTAATGCACTCGAAAAGGCACACGATTTTTCGGACCTCTGCACTCGATGCAGCACCGCATTCAGATTTTTCTGACTTCACGACTTGTTCTGGTTCCACAGTTTGCTTGCACACAGCCGAAGACACCGTCCGAAGAGAAACGCAGTCTGCCTCGTCGATGGTGAATTCGGTGGGGAAGCTCATGAAAAATGACCTCACTTTTTTGTTGTAATGATTGTGCAGAAACCTTTTGACTTTTTTTGGGAGGTCGTTAAAAGCAATCCACTCTACCCTGACCTTCTTGTTTCTGTTTAAATATCGCCTGAAGTATTGAATGCTGTAATTCTCATACCTTTCCCTCTCTTCATCTTCTTTCGATGGAGGAGGAGTTGACTCGGGAGGGCATTCCAGATTAAATTGTATCACCTCGCTCTTTTGTTCCTCACCTTTATCGGGTGGCGCTGAGTGTGCGTTTGCATCACCTCGACGAGAAGGAATTTTTTTTTTACCTTTCAGGGCAACTCTGTTGTTTTCAACTATAAAATAGTTTTTTCTCCTTTTAAAATACTCGAGTAGGTCTTCTCCTTTACACTTCTGAAGAACATATTTCCTGACGTTTTCAGGTGCCTTCGATACATGACCCCTGACGTTTTCGTAGTAAACAAAATCGTCAAATATTTTTAATATTTTGACAAAAAAATCAAATACTCCTTTTTTATCGTCGTGTGAAAATGCCATTGTTTCTATGTGATCAGAATGCCTAAAATAAAAATTTTTAACTATAATACATTTTCAAATACAAAATATGGTGTTATAACATAGCTGCCAACCTTAGAAATCAAAAATTAGGAACACCATATGAGACAAAATTAAACACGCCAATTACGAGAGTAAGACAAAAATTTAACTATTAAATAATAACATTAATTAAAATATCATTGAATACCTTATGTAATAGCAAAACAAAACTATAAGCACTATCTTTTGTGGGAGGTTTATAATATCCATATTTTATAATTAGGAATATCGGTATAATAGTTTAAAAACAGCTATTACCTATTAATATATAATTATTATTCTCCAAATTATAAAGCACGGGCAAATAATAGTCTGCATCATAAACAAATATTTCTGATGCAAGTGTTTAAATACTACAATACATTTTTTTAAAAATAATGATAGTTGTTTAAGATTCAATTTAGTGATATGATCAACAACTGTTGGAATAGTGTTTTCCAATAAAAAGCTACCAAGAATGACTTCTGCACAATCATCAGAGGTGATCAGAACAAGGGATTGGTTTAAAAGCAAAAATATCGCAATTTCAGGAAAATTCAGATTTTTTATACAAATTTAAGATTTCATTTTAAAATTAGGAACAAATCCGAAAATTCTGAACAGTTGGCAGCTATGTATATAAGAGCAATATTTCCAAAAACAAACTCACAAATAATAAAATAAAATTTTTATTTTTTGTTAGCCTAATTATTTAATAACCACATCTTATGTTTAAAAGTTCTGTTAATTGGTACATGGTTTTAAAACTATACTTTTATTTTTTTAATCTATAAAAATTTTCTACCATTGAAACCACTCTTAGAAGTCATAATAGACTCAAGCAAATTTTTTACACTGTTTTAATAATTAAAACAGCCCAGTTTCTACTTGTCAAGCCCTTGCCACCAAAATATATACTTTATTTGTAATAGAATTTTAGAGATGTATTTTTTTAAAGATATTTTTAGATTATAATTAAATAAAATTAATAAAGAATATTAAAAAACATTCATTCAAATATTATTGATACTATTACTTCTTTTATTTTCTCAAATTACACTGTAATTTATATGTTTCAAACCTTTTTTCTTTTTCAGCCCTAATTTGAAGTATCTTGATTTTCAGGTACAAGGAGAAAAAAATAAATAAATAAAGGCACTATTTGTCCAAATAAATTGAATTTCCGGTAAACATGTATACTAACTGATTGTGGGTAAGACCAACATTAAAAAGCAAATGGGAATGTGAGTGGCATAAATGGTCAAGTTTTTTAAGGTACCTATAAATAAAAAATACAATAAATATATCGATAGGGGTCATAAATAACTCTCTAGTCTTCTTCCATTTTCTTAATTTTGTCTTATTTTACGAAAAAATATTTTTTTTCCAATAAAAAGATTCACTAATGAGATGCTTATTCTGCACACTATAGTTTTAAATATTGTTTAAAAATTTTTAAAAAAAACAACACTAATTGAAGAAAATTAACTTCTTTATTTTGATTTCACTATATAGAATTTAATAACATAAGCACTTTTTATTCTATACTTGCACATCTCCAGTACTTTTTTATTAATAAATTATAATACATTTGTGAAAATTTCAATTATTAGATAAAATTGTTATCAAAAAGTTTAAAATTCATTTCATATGTAATTTTAAAAAAATTAGTGTATTGAATAATTCGATAGCACCTTTCTTACATTTTCATTTGTTTTAAATACATGTCAATAAAAACGAAAATTATTCATAATATTTCCAAAGGCCAAGTTTTACCTTAAGAAATTAAAACTTCTGTAACTTAAAAACATAGCTTTTAATTTATTGTGCCATTACATAACTGGTTGGTAGGCCAAGAGGAAGACCCAAAAAGAGATGGAAAGACTGTGTGGATGAGGATTCTGCAATTCTAAAAGGAAAGAACTGGAAATCAATTGCTGGGAGAAGGGCAGAATGGGAAAAGCTTCTGAGGAAGGCCCAGGCTCACAAAGGGCTGTCGTGCCAATGCTGATGATGAATGATTGTCACATAAAGCATCATTGCAATTTGCTGAAGACATTTGAGTAAGACAACCAGATTCCTAAACCATGATTTGAGGACAAATCAGTGGAAAATTTTATGATTTGAAGACACTTATATATTTATAGAAATATATTAAAATGTGCAATAAAGAATTTTTTTATATTTATAACTAATATAACGTACAGAACTATCAGTATTAAATTTAATTTCATTACTGAGCAGAACACGCATAACAGGAATGAATACATTTTTATTAAAATTTGTTTATTTTTTGTGGAAATTATTATTACGGCATTTTAATTTCTTAGTGCATGTTGCGTTTTTGTTTTTCGTTCATATTCTTAGCAACTTGTTTTAAAAAAAACATACACATTTCTGATTTTTTTTATATTTCACTGCAAAAAAAAAAAAATATCATAGTTTTTAGAAAAATACGAGGACTATTGAAAACACATGTAAAAAAATTTCGGAATATTTTCGGTCCTTCGAGAACTATTAACTATTTATTAACATCACATGCATCATAATATAAGTTTCAGTTATATTTTTTACTTAACAGCGTACAATAAATTGAATTTAAACGCACATATGTTAGTTCAGGCAAAAAATTAAGAAAGCCAATAAAGGTTGGCTTTTTAATTAGTTGGCTTCTAGTGTTTAAAAATATTGTGTTGAAATATGGATTGAAAATATTGTGCCCTATATTGTAAAAATATTGATCAGTATTTCACAGCTTTGTGAAATATTTTTTGTAAATAAAAAAGTAAAAATATTTCTCAGAATTCTATTATATTCTATTAATACTGTGGAATATTAATAAAAATCTCACACAAAAATAAAATCTCTAGATGAATAAATTCTATGACTTTTTTTCTAATTGGGTATATAGTGGTTATTTAAAGAAAAGCTTTTAAAGTTTCTAAACAGCAAAACTGTTTTAATACTGTTCTTAAATTTTGTACCTATTGTGAAGAAAATTAGCTAAATAAGTATTTGAGAGTGAATATTTAATTTCATTCAAAACTGTGTTTAACACTAAACACCCTCTCACATCTTGATCTTTGAAATTTAGTTCGTAACATATCTACTTAATTTGATTTACAATCGATTGCAAAAAATAAGTAGTTAATTATTTTTTATTTACTTTATATCATATTCATATTATCATCATTTTTTAAACTAAAACTAAAAAAAAAAAAGATTACATCAAAAAGTAATTTTTCATTAATGACAGTTTATTCAATTCTTATTAATCACTAAGTATAGCAAAAAGTGTAACTAAATAAATATTCTTTACACCTTTTATAGGTGTCAAATGGCTATATTAATTAAATGAAGGAATTTACCTTAGGGAAAAGTAAACATTCCCGTCTTAGCAACATTCAGATCTTGGCTAAAATTAACTTAGACAGGTATGTTATTAGACATGATAATAGGAGAAGCTAAACTTGATTAAATTCAATGATTATCTGTGACATCAATATGCATACGTTAAGTAAACAAATATTTTCTGAAAATTGAAAACAGAAACCGAAACTTATAACTAAATATTTGTTGCCAAAAAAACTAATGCAAGCAAAAATAATTTCAAAAGCCTGGTCGAGAGACTAAATAGAGCATTCTCACTGCATGTATCTGCACGTCAATTTAATTTGAATTGTCCCCATTGGTGTGGTGTATTTCTGAATGCACATAAATTGGACACAAAGCTGCAGTAAAAATAACCATTTAGTTCGGATAAAAATAAGTCGTATGAGATGAAATTATTTACTTTGACTTCAACTATTATTTATTTTCAAAGTTACTACCACAAACAATCTCTAGTAGGTTATTGCTCATGTAGAAAATACTAGCATCCTAATTATGATGTTACACTTTCCTTCATCTTTAAAGCGAAGACAGAAAGGGATAATTTTAGAGTACGTATTGTGTTTACTTAATTATATTATTTTCACGAAGACAATATTATTCTTTAAAGATAATTGCAATCGCAAAGGAATAAACAACACCGTTGTGCCCGGAGAGCTGCCAGGTTATAATCTTTTTTAAAAAAAGAGTTGAAATATTTTGCATATGTCAATTAAAAAGTGGTTTTAAAAAATAACTCTTTTTTTGATTTTATCGGGCAGGTTTACTAAGTGGAGCAAGTGGCCACAGCCTTTCTTAATGTTGTATACTGTTTTAATATTTGGAGAGTGATAATTTTTAGCTTTTTTTTCAGTGGGAGATATTTTTTCAATTAAATTTATTACCTAATTATCAACGTGCAACTTTTTATATAAAATAACGCAAAAGTGAAGCGTATTTACAACTACAGTAGACGCTGCTTAATGTGATCACGGTTAATGTTATCAAACGTTTAATGTTATCAAAATCGCTTAGTCCCGTCCGCTTAGATCAAAATACATTGAAAAATCCTCGTTTATTGTAATCAAATGTTCGTTTATTGTTATCAGTTTATAGGTAAATTTTATTTTCCTGAAATCAATAAAAACAAGAAGGAAAACTTTTTTTTGTGTTTTGTGAAGTGTTTCCTGAAACTTTCCAAAAGTCCAAACGGGGCTCGTATATTATCTTTTAAACACCTGTTATTATGAGGGGTATTTTGCCATTTTCGGTCAAGCATTGTAAAATTCCGTAGCACTGTGCGATTTCAAATCCCCGGAAATCCTAAATAAAGAGAAAAGAAGACCTGCCAGTAACGAGTCAATGTTTGTCACGAGCCCCTTTTTAGAAGAACTAAACAATGTGACAGATGATGTGTCCCAGCCGCTATGGGAAGGGTTTAAGGGGTAACCTTCAAAAGAGAACATTGTTTCGAGTATGCCATTGGATCTTGGTAGGTCGCTATTGGCAGGTCGCTTACCGAGTCACTATTGGTCATTATTTGGGGGGGGGATAGAGGAACTGCCATACCAAAGTGTTTAAAAGACAAATACGAAAGAAGATCAACATAAATTTTCACTTTACCATAGTTCATACGGTTTGTAACCTGATTTGTTTTTTATAATGGAAAGGAAACCGAGAGATCTTACTGTGAAAGAAAAGGTTGACATTTTAAATCGTTACGATAAATTGCCAAAAATGAGCCAAAGGAATGCTGCTGTTCAATTGAAAGTTTCGCAGCCGCTTTTGTGCAAAATCATGAAGATATCGAAAAAAAAGTGCACTTTGAACGAAAATCTGAATTGTAAAAGAAATCGAGATGGAAAAGACAAAGAGGTTGAATCTGCATTAAAACTCTGGTTCACAAACGTTCGTGAGAGGGACGCTCATGTTAATGGTCCAATTTTGCGCCAAAAAGCTGAAGATTTAGCTGCAAAATTGGGTAAAGGAAACTTCGTAGCCACAGAAGGATGGTTCCACCGCTGGAAAGGGGCAGAACATACTTTTCTGAAGGACACATGGTGAACAAAAAGATGCCGATAATGTAGCCGCAGATCAGTGGATTAAAGAAGAATGGCCTAAACTTATTGCCATATATTCACATGAAGATGTATACAGTGTTTTCATCATAGAAAAAAAATGGGTGAGAATTTCTCACCCTTTCTCAAAAACAGGGTGAGATTTCAGAAAGTTAAGTGAGATTTCTAAAAACTAAAAAAACACAAATAGACTTGAAGAAAAATCATTTTTTTTGTTGTTATAATACATTTTTAACGTCTTCCATTTTTTAAAGCATTTAATATTGCTGCATCATCATAGAAGATTTTGCCTTTACTAGGTATTTGTCCATATTACATTAGCGCATAAAAAATTTGAACGTCTTACATGAAAAAACCTTACCTACCGTAAACACGTGGTTGCAGAGAAATGTGTTCAGAAAGGGGTTCGGAGGGGCTGTGTTCTGTTGTTCGAAAAGGTTCTGAACAATACTGATAAATAGGGAAGCTAGATAACAGGGCAAATGTTGAAAATAATGAAAGATCCAGGAAGAAAAGTGAAGCGGATTTTATTTTAAATGGCGTAAATTGATGCTTTTTCCAAAATGCGAGAAATTCGTGAATTTTGAAATTGATTTATAGAATGCGCGAATTTCTCGCGGTAATCATTTTTTAATGCGAGAAAAGAAAAAAATATGCGAGATTCTCGCGTTCTCGCGCTGTAGTGAAAACACTGGTATATAACGCTGATGAAACTGGCCTATATTTTCGTGCGTTGCCTGAACACACCTACATGTTTCAGAAGGAAAGTACGCAAGGGTGTAAAACCTCCAAGGAACGCCTAACTATGCTATGTTGCGCTAGTATGACCGGCACTAAAGAAAAACTTTTAGTGATTGGAAAAAGTAAGAAGCCCCGCTGTTTCAAAGGTGTGAAAAATCTGCCCGTCGATTATTTTGCCAACAAAAGGGCGTGGATGACTACCACCATCTTTAACGAATGGCTGTTGAAATGGGACAAGCGACTAAAACGGAACATACATGATGTAACTGTTTCATTAAAGAAGATAAATATCATGTTCTTACCACCAAACACCACTTCTTTAATTCAACCGTGTGACCAGGGAATTATCTGCACCTTGAAGGCATATTACAGAAAGGAAATGCGTTCAAGGATCTTAGAAAATATGGAAGACCAAGACGCTGAAGATCTTAATGCGAACGCTCTAGCCAAAAAAACAAATGTTTTGGATGCCATACATTTGCTAACAACGTCATGGAATAATGTCTCGGAAAAAACAATTCGAAATTGTTTTAGTCATGGAGGATTTTGTCAACCAGAGGACAACAATGCTGCTGTAATGAAAGAAATGGAAGACAATTTCAATCCCCCGCCCGATATGAATGCTGAGGAGTTTGAAGCATGGATGGAGATCGACAAGAAGGTTGAGACTTCTACTTCGTTAACTGATGAGGACATTTGCGAAGCCGTATGTGTCAAAGATCCAGCTTCGTCACAAGATTCTGGTGCCGATGATGAACCCGAAAGTGCTATCGAGGACAAAATTCCGACGCCTGCTCAGATGAGGGAGGCACTTCGAGTCTTACGGCTAGGTGTGCAAAACAAAGCTGACGCGGAACACTTTCATAAACATTATGATTATGAGCGATTCGTAAATGACTTGCTTCATAAGAATGCTAAACAATCGACAATTGATGATTTCTTTTTCAGTTAATAATTAACCTTTTGTATTGTTTTCTGCAGTTCATCATTAAATATGTTAGTATACTAATTCTTTTTCTTTAGTGTACATTAATTTCTATTAAATACTTTAGAGTCTTACAGCAACAACTCCTTATTTAAAATAATTTTTATTTTAATACGTATGTAAAAAAATCATTTTTTAGCTTAAATTTTGTTTGTTTATTGTATTCAATTGGTTATTGTTATCAAATCATGTTCGTCACGATGTGATCACATTAAGCGGCGTCTACTGTATTAGTTTAGTTTGAGAGAAACAGGAATTTTTTGAGTGGTGGATTATGATTTTAAAATCTTTTTTTTTTTTTTGTGGAGGTTGAATACATTTTGAATTTTCCCCTTAACGGAGAGAAGTTTATTCTCTGCCTTAAATAAATTAAAAAGTCGAAGTCGCTCAAAAAAATTTGATAAATATTTATATAAAATTCACTTAAGTTTTTTTTTTTTCCACATGAATAATCTTACTGTTTTGTTCTTCTATTTTACTATGTATAAAAGTAGTATATAGAGAAAAAATTATTGTAACATAAATATTGTAATAGTATAATATAAAATTTTATATATAAATATAATTTACCCTGTGGCAGAATTGCAGCCACATTGTCACAAAATGTTACTGAGTTCTTGCAGAAAGATTTTTCTTTTCTACAGAAATTTACACACATAATATTTGAATCATGTATTTAGATAATCACTTTTTGACTCGTTTAATTTACGGCAATAGTCTTGTAAATCGATGCAATGGTTTTTGTTGTATTTGCAGGAGTTTCGGGTGGATTTCAAATATCCTGATACATTTCGAATAATAGGAAAATTTCGAATCCTGCATGTGAGTATTTACTTTTAAAGGCTATCAAATTTTTGGCAGTTATGGCTATTAATTTCTCCATAGTTTTTAAATCCAATATTTTTATGCTGTAGGTATAATTCATTACAACAACCTGATCTCGAAGCGAAACACACATTCGAGGAGTCCGATGCGGGAGATTTTGTTGATGATCTTTTTTTAGCAATTGCTACTAATTTTTAATTATCTTTTTACTGTCATGGTTATTTACCAAATGCGAAGAAGGAAATCATTTGTGCATTCCCCCTTCCATCAAAATCTGAGAATGTCTCCCATATTATTATTATAACAAAATTATTGCATTTTCAATTTTAAAAAAATTATAATAGTTTTTTTTTTTTTTTTGTATAAGCAGTGCTTTTGTTATTTTAACCCTTAGGCTACTAATGGGACTCATTTGTCTCAACAAATGTTTAAAAATTACTAATGGAGAGAAAAGCACTTAGAAACTCATTGTAATATATCCCAGTCGTAGAGTTGAAACAAGTACATGCGTTTCATGTGTCAAGTATCCCCTAGATGGCGCTAAAGACAAGTTTCTTGCATGAAATAGCATTGTGATTTTGCCCTGGGACAGATATATCCCACTAGTATTCTTCATTGGGATTGTTATGTCCATTCATATTTTCTGAAATGAACAAAGAAAAAAGAATATGTCCAATGTGTATATCGGGTCCAATGTGTATATATGTCCAATGTGTATGTCTATGTCCAATGTGTAATGTCGGGTTATGCAAAGATTGCTTCCCCCTATATCATACCATGTAAAAAAAAAAAAGTCCATATATAATAAATTTTTCCGGAATGATGAATTTGCTTGTAGTAAGTCAATCACTACAGGTGGGACATATGTATTTCACCATCAAGTACAGCCGGGACATTTCTGTCCCAGCCTCTAAATTGATAACCGCTTGTCAGAAAAATTCCAAATACTAAATTTGCCTTATTTGTGACCTATTTTGTCCTTTTGAATAGTAAACCGGACAAAAAAAAATATCATTTTTTAACATTCGTAGTCAAAGGGTTAAATTAGTAACATACATGTGTGTTATTATTATAAATATCTTGCAGAAAGATATTAGTGCTAGAGAGTTTTGTCGCAGAAAGCTCAAAAAAATTCTGCCACAAGGATAATAAATATAGTGCATATATCTATATATATATATATAATATTGACTGCAGGGTAGAATAGAAAAGAATATCGACAGTGTAAAAGAATTTCTTTTATAATGAGTAGTACTAAAAAATTTCAGCAATGATGACAAATTTTTTTGCAAGTGCCCTTTTTATTTGTGTATAATATCCATATTTGATTATTTTTTTTATAGATAAGTTCATTATCTCTTTAACTAAGTACTAACATAATAAGAGAAGCACATTTTTAACTAGTTGTTTGGTTGGACTAAAAAATAAGTGAAGGATTATTTTTTAAACAGTTTTTGTTGGGATCATTATTTTGATATTTTTTTATTACTTCCTTCTTATATCCGAAATATGTATCAACATTCTCAACGAAATCTAAAATATCCCTATTTCTTGTGTTGACCAGTTGTTTTTTTTTTCTTCCAAAGAAGATGGAATTCTGGCATTTCGCTTTTCTTAAAGGTTAATTCTTTACTTAAATTCCTTTGTATCAGTTTGCAAAGAATTGAAAAGTAATGCCAACGTTTACAATGTAAATGATTTTAATACAGGGTGCATAGCATTTTTATAAAGTGCTTAAAGATGCTTATTTTCCTTTTTTAAAAGCCCTTAAAAGGGCTTTTTTCATTGGATGCTTTTAAAGAGTGCTTAATTTTCCCTTTTTTCCAAAATGAGATTTTTCCTTTACTATGTTGATTTTCGCTTCGAATTATGCAAAAAGACGCGGTTCACATTGTTCTATTCAACGATTTCACAATTAATTCAGCCCCAATCAATTTCGGCGCACTGTCAGTCCGTAGCGTATCAAAAAGCCATTTGTTTTACATGATTCAAAATTTCATGATTTTTGACAATTGTCAAAAATAATGCCAAAAGGTTTTTTTTTTTTTTCATTTTTGACATGACTGTTAAGATAAGATAAAACCGTCAATTGTCAAAAACTTTCTAACCCTGCCTAATTAGGAAGTTTTTTTAAAATAATAATATAGATACAAAAGTAATAATTAAAATATTTTTTTGAGTGCTTGAAAAGTGCTTATTTTTTGTTGAATAATTTGTCTACGCACCCTGTAATAGAGAAGACAAAAAAAAAAAAACATAATAAAGAGAGAGAGAGAGTTTGAAGCAAAGCGGAGAGTCGATTTGGAAAAGTTTTATGGAACCCATAAACTTATATAACCAATTCACTTGTTTCCAGATTATTTTGCAATTTTATTTATTGTTAGTATCAACTTGTTATAAATTGCTTTGTAGAAAGAGCAGTCTCACAGGTAAACAGAAAATGAAACACCTGAAGAGAAAGTCACAGGAATTTCGACTGAATTAATTAACAAGAGGTATCCGATTCACCTGGAAAGTCACGAATTTCAATATTGAACCAAATTTGTCATGATTTTAGCTATTTTTTTTTTAAAAAATCATGAAAACTCTTAGATTTAGGTCACTGAAAAATCTAATTTTTAAAATGGAATGTTACCCCCCAATTTCATAGTGTTCCGAATATTTAAATTTGTAACAAAATCCCCACTCACAGTCATATTTGATTAAAATATTTTTATCTTGTTATTTAAAAATGATGGTGTTCGTTCAAAAAATGATAGAAAAAACATTTCTAGAGAGAATTATCTTTTAAAGTTCTGTGATTCCAGAATTATTGTTATTTATTTTTTTATTTTATCAATTTAAAATTCTTGCTGATGTAAGCCAGTCATTGACAAATTTTTTTATTCGGAAATGAGAGCAGAAAAATTAGGAGTATTTTTTCCTTTCCGATGAACAAGGAAAGTATCTTTAGAATGTAATTCTGCAGAAAAAAAGATAGAAAAAAATTATTTGCTTTTGCATTTTTTCAGCTATTTCATTGCTTCAACTCTTTCTTTACTCTGTTTTTTAAATTAAAATCTATAAATATGAAGATCAGAGTATCACAGTTTTGGTTATACCTACCATTTCAATGAATGTTGTTATAATGTTTTTTTAAATTTATTGTTGTGTTTTTGTCGGAGAAAGTAGTAACTTCGTTAAGTTATGAAAAATTCTTGGAATTAGTAATAGAAAGTCATGAATTTGAAATGTAGCAGATGCGCTGAATTAAGTAATATTTTACAATTAAATTTAAATGCAAAGTATTAAATTGAAGTTTGCATAATGAAACTTTTCATCTTTCATGCTATTATTTTATACTCTTATACGAGCTTTAAAAATTTTCAAATATACCAATAATTAAACTTATTGTATTGTGATATGATACTTAGACAACAAATAATATTTTTTAAACATTAATTTTAATAAAAGAATGAAAAAAACTTTACATTCATTATAGCTAAAATTTCATCACTTTTGTAATTATTTGTTTTGTAATATTTTGTTTTGTAAATATTTGTTTTGTAAATATTGAACATCTTGAAAGATTTTGCTAATTGATACATACTGCATGATAATATGGTATTATAGGAGCTATATAATAAAAAAACAGATAAAATTTTAAAAATCAAATTGTCTGAATTCAATAATTAATAAATAAGATTAATATGGGCGCCCTATAACATTTTACTTCTGACAAAAATATTTAGTTTCAATATTTATTTTATTTTCGTTTCAAAATTTAAGAATTTTTTTTATTCATTAAGAAATGCTGAACCAAATTACGAATTTTAATAGAAATTTAACAGAGTAAATTCATTAATTGTAATATGAATTTATTAACGTTTTAGTTTGTTAACAACTCTACACATCTTTATCAGCTGAATATGATAAAGGAATAACGACAATAATATTAATCTTGTAAATTTTAAATTTATACATTTATAAATAATTTTTATTTAAATGTAAAAGAATTATACAATGTCTTTTTTTAACTCCTACTCTGTCAGATTCGCATCCCATATGTTGTTATACATAATAATTATGTGATTTGGTAAATGTGATAAAAATTGCAGTCAAATTGCTCGTTATTCACAAAACTGACAAGGACATTTCTCCTTATCTCATGCGTTGTTATACATAATAATCATGTGATTTGGTAAATGTGATAAAAATTGCACAATTATCACATTGCTTAGTAATCCTTTGATTAATGTGATTTTATTTTATTACTTACCCTGTTTAGCATACTCTTTCAGTAAATGTGATCAGAATTATAAAATGACCACATGGCTCGTTATTCCTAGTTCTGATTTTTTTTTTTTTTTTTTTTTAATGATACGGGCCATTGTTTGTTTTTCACAAAACTGACAATGACATTTCTCCGTCTCTATCTGAAATGAGAAATCCTTCTTCAAATAAAATAAGCTTATTCTAACAAATATTTAGTTATGTTGACGCAAATATAACAATTTTGCTTCAAACCTTGGCGTTTTCGAAACTAAATACTTTTTCACTGTCAATTTAGTGACATATGTTTGCATAAAATTAAATGCTTTTAAATGTTAAATTTTTTTCAAAACTGAAGAA